GTAATGCTGCTTCTTCCGGAAATCTCCTATCTTCCTGTTGAAATGAAGCTCTGCCTTCTATAATCTCAGAGAGATTTGCCAGTACTGCAGAGTGCTTCCCCTGCCTCTGCCCCTTGCAGTGCGGGGACTGGAATCTAGATGCCTGTTTGTCTGCCTGCCCTCTAGCTGTGGGAGACAACGGCACTCTGTGGATCCCTCCCCTCCCTTAGCTGGCAACGTACACACTAGATGCTCACTAAATGGTGCTCAGTGCAGACTGGAATGAACATAGATGGATCCTACTCTGCTCCTGCCAGCTTTCTCCATCAAACCAGCAGCATTGTAACTGGTCTGGACCAGATCATTCAAATTTCCTTCATTCCCAGCAAAACTTTATAAACATGTAAATGTGCCTTTCAGGATCCCCGTGGCGTTTAGGGTAAAATCACAAATCCTCCCGATGCCCTACCAGTCTTGGCAGGGCCAGCCTCCAATTGGTCTCTAAGGTCCAGACATTGGGAATCCGGTCCCTACTCAGAACTTGTCAGAACCTTTCTTTGCTGGCATCTCTGCTTGGGAGTGTCCATCTTTGCCCATCCCACCCTCAAGTTTCTTTCTGGGGATTTCCATTAGCTATGATTTGCCTCAGGTACACACTGGGTTATCTCATTTGGGAGGGAATGCCTGCCTGTCCTTTGCTGTCCTGACTATCACAGGGTAGGCATTCCATACATGTGCAGGATTTTTGCTGGCTCCTCATTCTGTGAGGGTAATGATAAGGGTGAGGGAAGCTTTAGCTGAGACTTCGAGGCTGTGGTCAAGAACTTGTTCAAGGTTCTTGATCAGATCCCTAGTACCACAAATAAAAGCAAACCCAGAGTAGTGGAGTAGCCATGTCTGGAGAAGGTGGCAGAAGGGAAGAGTTTTGTTTTGGTCCTCCATGCCTAATCCACCTGGGTTGTATTCCCTCCAGACTGCAGTGGGTTATAGCTTATGCAGTCTCCTCGCTGCCTCTGCTTTAGCTCACGTAGGCGGGTTCCTTTGGATCTGCTAGGAAATAATTTGCAGTAGGCAGGACAATCTTAGGACACAACCCTGCTTCTACCACCTCCCAGCTAGCTCCAGTCAGTTTCTTTATCTGTAAAATGGAGCTGATAAGACACCTACTTCAAAAGTTGTTGCCAGAATCCAGGAAGCTGCTGCCCTTCTTAACCATTTACTATCTGAGATGAGTTTTGCTATATTGCCCAGGTTGGTCTGGAACTCTTGGATTCAAATAATTCTCCTGCCTCAGTTGCCCTGAGAAGCCAAGACTACAGACACTTAGTGCCTGACACACAATACTTACTGTCAGCATCTAGGGGAACATTCCCAGAGTTGGGATTTAGCTAGCAGGGCTCCCTCTCTTATAAACCCAGAGATCACATTTTGTCAATTTTTGTTAAGAACAACCTCACAACTCTTGTGTTGTTCCTTTTAAGGCACAGGACATGCAACTACTCACGCATATTTAGTGAGGAGTTGAGGGAGGGCACTGTACTAGGCGGGTTCCAGAGGCACAAAGGTCCACCCTATCCACTTCCTGTGCTAGTGAGAAGGATCCCACAAATCTACAATCACAAAGCAACTGGGTACATAGCAGAGCTGCCCACAGGGTACACACAAGAGAACATTTCAGGGCATGAGTGCAGGGTGTGTCATGGACGAGGTAGGGTCCTTGAGGAACCCTGGGGTGGACAGAAAGCAGGATGCTCAAAGATCACCATACCATTCACTCCTTTCTGGGATGTGACCATTCACTGGGGGAAGCCAAGCTGAGCTCTGGGGATGGAGCTTTTTCAGCATCAGACCTGCTCAGGGTACACATCAGACCTTCCTCCAAGCTCCTGAACCTCTGGATGGGTGGGCCCTCCAAAGACACAGGAGACAAGCATTAACAGACTGCTGGTCTTTTCACACCCACCTGCTTCCCTCATCGCTGCTGCTGCTGCTGGATGTCCAGGAGCCTGGAAATGGAGCCCTTGTCCTTGGGGAGGGGAGGGGGTAGCTTCCAGGTCCCTCTGGGGGTGTGGTCTCTGGAGACTGCATCTTCAGTCTGTTAGTCGGGACTATTCGCTTCCCCCTTATTCTTCAGATAAGCATTCTAAGGGGGGGGTGACCCTCTGACCTCCAGACTGTTACCCCCTCACATGCGGGAGGAACCCCTGGAAAGGAGCTTTAAGGAATGAGGACTCAAGAGACCACACATAACGAAGTGGCTGGAAGGCAACTTGGGTCTTAAAGATTCTGGGGTCCCCTGGTTACTCTTGGGGAGCTCAGCCAAGCTTAGAGAGGCCTCATTCAGGTCCAGAGTCCAGGACCGAGATGTGGGTGCCTGGCCCTGGAGGGAGGGGGCCACCGGCAAAGGGGTCAGGCTGAGGGAGCAGGCGGGGCATCAGGAGTGGAGGGTGCTGAGTGGGGGTGGGAGGGCGCAGGGTCCGGTCGGTGCAGGGTGGGGGGCGGCCCCCAGGGAGGGGCATGCTATGTCTTTAAGAGCTGCCTGAGCGCAGGTTGCAGCTGCCTGGCCAGCCCGAGAGACAGCGGAGATTCATTACCCGTCGACACAATGACCATTGATGGCCCCGTGGCGTTATTCAAATCCAGTACCAATTGCAGCCGAGCCCCTTTCTCCGCGCCAGGCCCGTATTGTTGGAGCGGCCCACTAAAAGCCCGCCCCGGCCCCGAGCCGCCAGAGGCGCCCGCTCGGGTTCAGCCCTGCGCTTCACCAGCACGCCGGCTCCCGGTCCGGCTCCCTGGGCGCTGCAGGTGACCCGGCGGCGCATTCCGGCGCTCCCGGCTGCCCAGGCTACCACCCTCGACTCAGCCACAAGGAAGCAGAGAGCGCCCGAGCCGGTGCGTGCGCGGGGCCGGGCGGGGGAGGGGGCCCCAGGAGTCCAGCACCCCAGACCAGAGGCTCAGAGGCGCCACCGGCCTCGGCCCCAGTTTTGTGGATTCCCGGAGAGCCCAGTCTGGGGGCGGGGATAGGAGAGTCGGGGTTCCCTGGGCCTGACAGAATATTCCTCCAAGCTGGGGTAGCCCAGTAGCCCAGAGACAAAACGCGGGTTACTCTAGGGACCCTTGGCCACGATGGAAGGAAACACGCCGGGGGCGATGGGGATGCCCGAGCAGGGCCGGGATCTGCATGCCCGCTCTCTGGTCCACCTTACCGCGGGATGGGCTGCGACTGCTGAGCTTCTGGAGGTATTCGGATACGCAGCTCCCGAGATCTGGTGTGCGCTTTTAAGGAGCCAGGCAGAACCCCAAGGGGGACCGGGCCCCTGAACTCAGGGGCTTCGCCACTGATTGTCCAAACGCAATTCTTGTACGAGTCTGCGGCCAACCGAGAATTGTGGCTGGACATCTGTGGTTGAGCTCCAGGCTCAACAGAGACAGGGGCCGCAGAGAGGAGGTCCACGCTGGGAGACCGGGGCGGCAGCCGGCAGGGCACAGCACGAGCAGAGTGGCCCCAGAGTGGTATGCAAAGGGACATTAGTCCTTGCCACTGGCGCCGCCATCCTCATCCTCGCCTCCTTCCTTCTCCTGCTCTGCGGGTGACCCGTGTCAGCTGGCAGGGTCCTTGAGTTGATCGCACCGAACAGGTTTCCCCGCTTTCTAATTTCGGCCGGAACGAAGCTGGCACACAGCGGCGGGGCCCGAATGTGCTTCGTGCAGCCGGTCCCTGGCCAGAACCGCAGTTAGTCGGGAGTGAAAGCCAGATGCTAGCAGAATTCGTTCGCTACCTCGTTTTGAATTTGTTTCAACCTGTCCCCTGACCAGTACCCCCAAACAAGAAGGAAACAAAAATCCGAAACCAACCCGTATAACCCAAACCAGCCAACCAACCCTTCCCACAAGCTCCTCTGGACCGACTGAGGGGCGAGCCTCCCACCGCTGCCAGAAACAGAAAAGCTGGGGAAAGATGCGCTCCAGCCAGGCAATCGCCTCGGCTTTGGAATTAAGAACTTGGACAAACGAATCCTTTTCATTAAAAATAAATCTACGGAGGTAGTGGGACTTGTTTATTTCCTCAAAAGCAAGGGCCACGAGTCGCATGGGAGGGGGTTTGTTGGACGCTGATGGGGCTGAGTGAATCACCCGTCTCTGACCCCTTTCTGCTAGAAACTAAACCAACCTGAGTGGACTAGGGTGAAAGTGCCCTGCCAATTTGCACAACGGCAGTGGCACCCCAGATGGGGAAAGCTGGTTTCCTCAGCCCATTCTTCTAACAATCAGTATTAGCTGGGGTGCCATGGAAGGCGGGAAGTCCCCCATCCACATCCTCCCAGCCATCAGCTGCAGAAGGCACCCTAGCACTTATATCTAGTAGCAGAAGCTTAGGAACAAGGAAAGGCTGAGCCTCTATTTAAAGACAAGCTATGAGAACTATGACAATGCTTGACCTCAGCCCAGCCTCACCAGCACTTTGACCCAACACTGGCTTTACTTTGCACCCAGCCAGTTCCTACCAGTAACTCCAACGTGACTGCTTCCACTCACAAGCCCAAGGATCTGACTCTGTGGCAGTGCCTGGAACAGCTCAGGAAACTGAGGTCATTCTCTATGAGAATCTGCCCAACAGTGGCCCACAACTTTAGGCACTCTGTTCTATGCAGGGTGAGGAATTCCACCTTATTGACATTAATATGAAACATTTTGGGTCAGATGAAGCTTTTTTTCTGCAGGTCATGAAGTCGTGGGGCTCAGCAATCTTACTTAGGCCACCCTCTTCTGAGTTCTGGGACTGCTGACTACAGTCGGCAAAACAAAGCCTGGCGTTAGACTGGTTGATGAGAATTTCTGGCTTAGGATCCTGGACTAGTCATTATGGGTCTACACTGCCTTCTCCACCTCTATTGATGGCCCTACTGAGCCACTCTCTTTGCAACAGTTTGCAAATGTTTTAGCCTTTCAGGTGAAGGCTGTCTCTGCCCATGGATTCGAGGGACACAGGGTACCACCAGTTTCTAAGGATGAAGCAAGGCTAGTAAACAAACTAGTCTTTTTATTTGCCCAAGGCCAGCTGTTGCAGACATAAGGTCCCCAGACTTCCAGAAGGGATGGAGGAAAGGGAAAGAGGAAAGCCCTCTGTCTACTAGGCGCTGCACCCCCAAACCCTGCTTGTTTTAGGAAGCTAGGAGTTGCATATGCTGACGCCCCAGCCCCTAAGGTTAGGCTACTTCCTTTCATTCTCTACCCCAAGCAGAATGAGTTGTGGGCAGCCTGGAGAGTGTCTCAGGAGCCCATCTGGTGGCCTATGTGGGGGGAGGCCAGTCAGGGTCAAGGGCTGGGATGGGGGGGGGTGACAGGAGGAGGAGTATGTGGATAGGACAGCAGCTGCTGGGTAGAGGGGAGGGAGGTGAGCACTGAATAGGGGACCCCAGCTGGGGTTCCATAATGATATCAGTGGGGGACAGGCAGAGCCCTCTGTGTCCAGATGGGGAAACTGAGGCGGAGGCCCCTCTAATCTTTGGCAAGGGAGGGGCTTCTCATCAGTTACTCCAGTCCATCCATCTTCTCCATGAAGACGGCTGTGGAACTGGAGTGCCTTCCAGGCAGTCACACAGTGCTTAGTTATACCAAGACACAGGAGTGGCAAGCAGCTGGGTCACCTGGCATAGACCCCCTCCACTCCTGACAGATCACAGGAGTACCCTCCCCCACCTCAGCTGCTGGGAGATCTGGGCTCAGGCGTCTGCTCTCCCTCCCTGCTCACGTGCCTTGCCCAGAAAGGCTCATTTTTAGCACCTGGCCTCTTTTCCCTGCCTAGAGAAGACTCAGGGGTACAGCAGGGAAGGAGGCAGCCAAGGGAGACTGAGGACCTGGAAGCAGAGCCCGAGGAGAGCTGTGGTTGTCCTGTGCTCCCTTTGCAAAGGTGCTTGGGCTCACAGAAGAGCCCTCAGCCGCCGTGCAGTGTGGAGATGAAGAGGATGCTGTCCTGGTCCTGCAGCTGGTAGTCCAGCTCCCCCTGGGGCAGGAAAGAGGGACAGGGACCATCAGAACATGGTTCAGGTCACTGCTAGGTTTTGGGACAGGGAGGAGAAAGGTGGCTGCTCTAGGAAAGAAAGAAAAACCTCACCAGAAAATGGAGACCCTACATCAACTTTCAAATCTCCAGGAGGGTGAGCTCCCGGTTTCCCTCCCCAGCAGCCATTCAATCCTTCCTCATTTGAGATGGAATACAGAAATAAACTCATTTGGGGTGGGGGTGGGGCAGAGGTATGAATGAGACAGATTACCCAGCCCCCACCTGGACTGATCAGAAACTCAGAGTCTCCCACTGGAGCAGGGAAGGAAAGGGCTGGGGAGGCGTGTCACTGGAGGTACTGACCAGCAGTTCCCAGTCGGCATCATTAATCAGCACCAGGATTCCTGGCCGCCTGTGGGAAAAAGGGTAGTGAGGAGCAGGAAGCGGAAGGCAGGAGGTCAGTCTGTGGGCTGCAGGAGTGTGGAGGCACCTTTCCTCCCAGTTGCCCAACAATTTGCATGGTCAGGAAACCAGGTGAGAAACCAGGGTCTTGAGGGTATCTTAAAAATAAATGGGCAAAGTTCAGCATCACTTACCACCCAGAATTATGGCAAGGCGTTCTATGTCTCTGAGTATCAACTCTCTTCACATGAAAACAGGGCCAATTATAAGACCTGCCCTATTAGGTCTGCTGAGGGATACAGCAAAATGGTATACATGGCTTGCTTGCCACTATGTCTCAGTAACCAGGAGGAACCTACCTTTACCCAGTATCTAATCTTACTCTCCTTTACTTTGGAAAGGAAGGGCTTTGGCTTCTAAGCCTCCAGGGTGCCCATCCTGGAGAGCAGCAAGCTCAGCCCTTCTGGGTCAAAGGAGGCTGCCAGCAGCACCAAGCATCTGAGTGCTTCAGAGTCAGTCCTGGCTCCTACGGCAATGGTCCAGGGAGCACTGATGTCCTTGTAGGTGGCTTCCAGGATTGCTGTGCCAGAAACTGGAGACTGGAGAGCAGTCCTAGGCCATAGGGTGACCTATGCTTGAAGGCAGATGAGTCTCACAATTTCATGGCTCACCTCTTTTACACAAGAGGCCATCTTTGTTTACAAGTGAAATGACTTGGCATGAGGAACCTGGACCTTTGCTGGCAGGCTGGGAGAGGTGTGCCTGAGTGGCTATGTGCATGCAGTGACCTGGAACCTTGTCTCTGTGATGCCTCACTCTGCACCTACTGACCACACGTAGCCATTGCAACGACAAAGAAAGAAAATGGAAATGTTTGAGTGTTTTTATTTAATTTTTAATTCTGTGTAAGCTTGTGTAGTAACAGAGTAAGAGTGCAGGTGCAGCAGAGGCTGAAGAAGTCAGAGCTGGAGTTCTAGGCTACCTGATGTGGGTGCTGGGAATTAAACTCAGGTCCTCTGGAAAAATAGCATGTACTCTTAACTTCTGATCTAGCTCTCCAGCTTGTGTTTGATTTTTAAGACTGGGTCTTGCTATGTAGCCCAGACTGTCCTCAAACTTGTGAAATCCTTCCATCTGAGCACACACACACCCTTTTCAAGACAGTGTTTCTTTGTGTAGCTCCAGCTCTCCTGGAGCTTTGCTCTGTAGACCAGACTGGCCTTGAACTCATAGAGTGCATCCCAAGTGCTGGGATTAAAGGTGGACACTGCCAGGCTCGAGACAGGGTCTTACTATGTAGCCCTGGCTGACCTGGAACCATCTATGTATGTAGACCAGACTACCCTAAAACTCACAGAGATCACCTGTCTCTGACTACCTAGAACTGGGGATTAAATGTGGGGATTAAAGCATTTTAACTGCTGCCACACACAGTTAAAATGGAGTATTTAGTTTCTCAGTCACACTGGCCAACTTTGAGGGTTCAATCAGCCACAAGTGGCAGCAACAACTACCAGACAGCACTAATAAAGAATGCTTCTAACATCAAGAAGAAGTCTATGGGACAACTGTCCTAGATCAGGATAAGGGAGACCTTGGACAGTATATCTTTCTTAGTATTTTCTGTACAGAGGGTAACTGAGACCCAGAGAAGCAAAGTAACTCACCTAAGTTTCTGCATATATCATGTCTGTGTAACCAGAAGCATAATACAAATTTTGGGGAAAATTTGCCAAGCTCCTTTCATATAGGCTTTTAAGAACCTCAAATAGCCTAGTGTGGTAATAAGAACACTAGAAACAGACCTGAGCACAGCTCTTTTCTCAAAGGAGTTTGAGAAAATAAGAGGCCAGAGGACTCAAGAGGACATTCAGAACCCTAGGACATGGGTTTAGACAGTCTTCCCTCCCTCTGCCCTGCTCAGGGTGGGGGGAGACTCACACACTGTCTCCCTGGATGAACAGCTCTGGCCGCTCTTTTAGCAAATTCTTCTTGATCCAGACAAGGAGGTTCCGGATGTTCCCTAAAAAGGGAGGCACAGAACAAACTAATGTCAAATCCAACTCATTCCTATGCCCCAAAGCCTTGCCTAGTACTGAAGAAAGTGAACATGGGGCTCATGGAACCCAGAAACCTGATTAGGAGAGGCTAGTTATCTGTCAGAAGGGTTTTAAGAAAAAGTGGCCATAGCACAGCTAAAGGCACATTGTGTCTGGGAAGGTTTAGTGGTGAAGGGGAGGCACTGCTCTTTCAAAAGACCTAAGTTCCGTTCTCAGCATCCCCATTAGTCAGCTCAAAGACCACCTATGCCTACAGTGTCCTTCAAAACTCTGCATGCACTTGCATTCACATGCACAGACCCACACATATGTACACAAAATTTAAAAGGATTAAAGAATAGAACTCAGGGACTGTGGTAGCTAGGTTGATGCTACCTCAACAAGGCTGCTTAGAGGGCATCAAAGAGCCACTGCCACCTTTATCTCTCTTGCCAGTCCAGCTGGAGAGGCCTCAGCTTTGCTCACAGGCAGGGTCTGCATATATTTCCCTTTGTAAAGGGAGAAAAACAATTGCTAAGCTGATAACATCAGTTAATTTCCTCTAGCAGAGGGAGAGAAGGCTCTTCACCAGGCAGACACTGACAAATCACTGCTCACTACCCCCACTTTTGCAGAGCCCCGGAGGGTGGCCATCTTGAAGAGGCAAGTTCTGGGCTACAAGGACCTCTCCTGCTTTGCTGAACACCCAGGGCCACCTCCCATAGGATGGGTTCTGGGATGGCCGCCAGTCTCTTTGTGCAGCATGTGGAGGCAGTGGTCTCCAGGATTGCCAGGGTTACCTGTCCTTTCCTAGGAGCAGGGGGATCAGCCCACAGCAAACTAGGACTAGTCTGCATCTATAAACCCCTCCGTACCCAGGACCTCTACCACCTGCTCTTCACTCAGATTGTTCTTGGAGGTCCTGCTCTCAGAGGTGAACCTGAAAACAAAGGTCCTACAGAAACAACTGGCATTTAGAAAGCCCTAGGGGGACTGTCCTGAGTCAGTGTCTTATAGAGGTCCGCTACCTTTGATGGAGCCTGAGACAAGCTCTGAAGCTAAGCTGAAGCAAAGTGAGAGTGTGGCCTGAAAAGTCCTGCCTAGAGCCCAAGTCTTGGAACAAAGGACTGCTATTACACAGGAAGTCTCTCTGCTCCCAGTGTGAGCTTCACTTTGCAACACATATGCAGGTCGAACCTTGGGTAGGGTCAGGAGGTGAGAAGGTGCAATATGGGCATTTTTGCTGGACACAAACATCTCATAGGGCAACATGCAGTGTTCATGGACTAGAATGGTCATCTCCCACTAAAAATTCCTTTTAGACAAAGCGTGTGTAGTCCCCAAGGCAAGGAGAAGGGTGCTGCCTCCCTCAGGCTGCACTTGGATTCCTGGTGGGCTCTTCCTGAAGGCCCATGTTACAGAGGCTTTCCCTTGGCCGTGAATCCCCTTTCTTCCATCTTGGCACTGTCTGGTGGGCCGCCAGCCCATACATCTTATGGCTGTTCGATAGAACCACTGGAGTCTGACACAGCCATCAGCCAGCCTCGGCAGCCAGGGCTGTGCTTCTGTGTTTGGACACAGGAAGGACTGAAAAAAGGTTTGCCCAGTGATCACAGGCCATATCTGACAGCCCTGGCTGGCTGGTATAGAATCAGGATTCTCCTGGGGAACAGCCCTGGCTCCCTCCAAAGAGAGGGTATTTCTGCTTCTCTCTGGATAGCTTTCGAATAGGGGAGGGCTAGTGGTCATGCTGAGGTCATCCACGTGATGACACTGTCATGGACTCCCAGAGGGGTGGGCTGGGGGATGAGTCTGCTGCCTAGTGCTGGCTCATTTATCATGATGCTCCTATTTGCTGAGGTCACTCCCTCTCTCTTTTGCCTGGCCCCCTCCAGGCCCGCCCACATTTTTGATAGCTTGTTACCATGGTGAGACTGCTGTATCACAGCCGCCTTTATTGTCCCTGTGCCTGGATTTGGGGGTGGGGAGAGGTGGAACTCATGGCTCCCTTCTCAGGCTGCAAGGGCCACTCAGCCTGGCCTGAAACGCACCCGCACCCCCGGGGACATCTTGCTTGGCTTGCTGAGGCCCAGACAATATGCAAATAGGCTCTAAGCCAGATGGTCGGCTTCCAAAGGCACCCAGGGGAGGAGGAAGGGTTAAGCAGAGTCAGGGACTGGTGGCTTGGGGTGGCTCTGGGATAGATGGGGATAGATAACCTTACTTTTACCTTCCCACTGTCTTCCTTCTCAGTCCTCCTGAGCATGGTCTCCTTCCTGGGACTGCCATTCACAAGACAAACATTTATTGAGCAACTATCCTCTGTCAGGCACTAGGGTGATGGTGGCCAGCAAGATGGATGCAGAGCCTTCCTTGTGAGAGAGGGCACAGAGGCGGCAGACATTACTTCATTAGTGGTGGTGCGTGTGCTATCTCCTCTGGGACCAGGAATGGCCTTTCCAGGAGTGCAAACACTGAAGCTTAGGTCTGAGGATGAATGGGCTTAGGTGGGGGAAGCGTTCTGGACAGAAGGAAGCACATATGGAAAGAGCTGAGGTACCATGCAACTGGCAGGTTCAAGGCAGCAGACTGAAGACGGCAGGAAGATCCCTTTAGAGGACCTGGAGAAAGCCTGCTCCCTCCTCTGGAACCCCAGCAGTACTGATGAGGTGTGCAACCCCTTGCCCCATACTTCTCTATCCTGCTACCTAACATGACACTCCCACTGCTGTTCCGGAGTGGAGTGTGAGGGCCCAAATATATTGCTCTCAAAATTCTACCCCAAGATGCCGGTGGAACCCCAGTGGGAAGGGGGAAGGTAAAGGCTGGCCTTGAACTTGCTATGTAGCTGAGAACTACCAATCCTGGGGCTCCTGCCTCCTAGGTCCTGGCTGGAGTTACAGATGTGCATCACCGTGTCTGCCAGTTTTAGTTTTAGTTTTTGACTTGGACTCCATTTCTTCCTGGGTATACAACCTGAACAAAGAAATTCTCAGAGCCTCAGCTTTCTTTAAAAAAAAAAAAGACGTAAGATTGCTACTGGCTCAGAGGGTAAGAGTGCTTGCTACTCTTCTAGAGCACTAGACTTAGGTTCCCACACCCAGGTTGGGCAGCTCATAACCACCTTCATTACAGCTCCAGAAGATCTAATACCTTCTGGTCTCCTCAAGCAAGTTGTCTCTCTCTCTCAAACACATATACAAACAATAACATTTTTAAAAATTGAAAAAGAATGTGGATCTGGAGCCAGGTGTGGTGACGCACACCTTTAATCCCAGTGCTCTGGGAGGCAGAGGCAGGCAGATATCTGTGAGTTCAAAGCCAGCCTGGTCTACAAAGTCCAGATCAGCCAAGGCTACACAGAGAAACCCTGTCTCAAAAAACAAAACCAAACAAAGAACGTGGATCTAGAAACACGGTTCAAGGGTCAAGAGCACTGGCTGCTCCTGTAGAGGACCCAGGCCTGACCCCCAGCCCCCACATGACACTGCACAATCCCCTACAACTCCAATCCCTGAGGATCTGATGCCCTGTTCTGATCTCCACTCATACACATAAAACTAAAAAAAAAAAAAATTTAAGAAAAGAATGCACTGTTAGGAGGATCAAATGAAACAATCTATAACATGATTCTTGGATCTGTGCCTAGACTGTCAATTATTCCTGAATCCAGGGAACAAGAGAAACTGTCTCCTCTGGTTTTCTATATGCTCTGCTCATCACCCATAAGCCTAGCCTTAGACAGAGGTGTCCCACTAATCAGTGCTGGGTCTTTCTGTATGATATGGCATGTGCTCACTGGAAGCCAGATGTCAGTAACAGAAACAGGAGAGTGTACAGCCAGTCAGTGACCTCATGCATCTTTAATCCCAGCAACTCCCAGAGTTCTTTAGGCGATCTCTGAGTTTTAGGTGAGCCTGGTCTACAGAGTAAGTTCCGAGATAGCCAGGGCTATAAAAAACAAAAAACAAAAAAAACAAAACTTATCTCAGAAAAGCCAAAAGAAAAAAAAAAAAAAAAAAGACAGAAAGAAAAAGGAGAGGGTGGGATCCGCACACTAGTCTTATTTCCCAGGTTGCCCAGGCTGGCCTGAGTTTCTGTCTCAGCTTCCCACATAGTTGGGGCTATAGGCACATACCACCACTCCCACCACCTTCCTCCCATTTTTGGTTGGTCAAGCTCCTGGGGCAAGCTGTGTGGGAAGACTCACATTCTAAGGCTGTGCTTGCCATAACCAGTCATACACTCAACACTGGGGTGGAAGAGGTGCTCTAATGCAAGCTTTCCAGTACAAGTGGCTTCTGGCCAGCCCATGTGGGAACAGTGGGGAGAGAAACTGCTGCTTTGTAGTGTACCAGTTAAAGATCAAATAGAAAGCTTGCACCGAGGGGTAGATAGCCTCGGGCAAGAAGTCACTTCACCTCAATGTATTAGTATCATTTATCCTGTGGATAATAATCTACACTCCAAAGCATTGCTGTGAGGATTAAGGCAAAATGCTAGCAGCAGGACATCTGCATCAAACACACAGGGAACACACCACAGATGGGTACTCTGAGCTGTGTACTCAAGTGAACTGATGCCTCATCCTCTGCGCTGCCAGAGCCCTTACCTGAAGGTGTAGAAACTATGGTGGGCCCACCTTAGAGAACAAGTGTGAAACCTCTTCCTGGGCTACACTTGAGGGTGAAAGCCAGTGATCTCAGCATTTGGGATGATGAAGCAGGAGGATCAGGTCATCCTTGGCTACACAGCAAGTTTGTAGGCAGTCTGGGCAACACCTCAAAAAACACTTAGTGGTTGGTGCTCACAAAAGTGAGAGAATATACTCAAAGTACATTATATACTTGCATGAAAATGGTCTTGGCTAACCATGTATGAGACAATAAGAAAATAAATGAAGGAGCCTCCACCCAGAATCCTTGCCCCAGCAGACCTTTCTTGTTTAGGAGATACTGACAACTCACACTGGCAGGGCTCCTTAGAGCAATGGTTCTCAGCCCACGGGTCTTGCCCACTCTGGGATCACATATGCGGATATCCTACATAATTATTATCCTACAGATTAATAACAGTAGCAAAATTACAGTTATGAAGTAGTACAGTTATGGTTGGGGGTCACCACAACATGAGGAGCTTTATTAAAGGGCTGCAGTGTTAGAAAAGCCAAGAACCACTGACAGCCCCTCAGAGCTGACAGTGAATCCAGGCTGCAGCATAGTCTTATCCAGCCTCGGCAAACACATGGGGGACAAGGGCTGCTCCATTTAAACTGCTCTCTTCCACGAAGAAGTCAGTCTTCTGCCACTCCTGTCCACTGGGCCACTCCTGTCCACTGGCACTGGGCCCAGACCAAGAAATGTTTTCTCACCTTCACCTGGACGCCGAAAACTCATCCCTAAGTTAAACTGTCCCTTCCCTAGCAAGCATACCAGCCAGCTCAGGCTACACGGCAGAGCTCTTCTGGGATTCCCACCCCAGGCCTGAGCTAAAGGGAGAAGAAAGAGCTGACACGGGAGGAATGAAAGAGAAGAGGGGTGGAGGGAACCTCAGAGGCTCCATTTACAAGTGAATGGGGGTAAGAATGGAGCAGTTTGTGGGCTAAACTGGCCTCAGAAGGAGGTTTACAGATGTGTGAGGGGACGCTCCTCATTGTTTAATTAAGCAGAAAGTGGATCTTTTCAAAAGCAATTTTGCACAGGGACTGGGAGGGGAGGGGAGAGGAGGGAGCTAGGAAAGGGATCAGCAAACAGGCCTGGAGAGCAGAGAAAGGAACAGCTGGCCCCAGAGAGGCTGTGAAATGCATGCTAAGCAGTTTAAAGTGCCCAGGAACTGCTGCTCAGCTCCTGCCCTCCCTTGTTAGCTACCCTTTAACACGACTGGAGCAGGAGTGGAGCATGTCTGTGATGGTGCAGCAGAGGAAAAGGGTCAGCCTGAGCTACACAGAGAGAGAGCTCCTCTGTCAGTCAGTGAAGCAACTACTCAACCATGGAAATAGCAGCTATCTCCTAGGTCAGCAAAGGTGTCAAGGACACTGGCAACACCAGGAAGAATAAAATGATGACTACTCAAGTGCCACTTGCTGAGTATTTAGTGACTGAGTGACATGGAGATGAAATTCTGAAAACGTGTGGTATTTTATTTTGGCTATCCCAGGGCTGCCTCCACCTCCTGAGTGCTGCCATCACAGTGTCTCACTCACTACTATACCCAGTTTTTGCCCTGATTTATCCCATGCTGGGGATGGAACAAAAAAGGGCTTTGTGCAGGCTAGGCAAATTGTCAGCCCATACTGGTATTTTAATAAACTTTTTTTTTAGCTGGACTTGGTGGCACATTCCTTTAATCCCAGCACTTGGAGGCAGAAGCAGGCAAATCTCTTGAGTTTGAGGCCAGCCTGGTCTTCAGTGTGAGTTCCAGCCTGGGATACACAGATAACCTGTCTTGAAAAAAACTAAAACAAAAACTCCCAACAACAAAACCTTTTTGTATGTTAATAAGTGAACTGAAAACCTCTCTTGTTTAGGCACTCTCCTCCTGTTCTTACTGGCAGGGATTTTTTTGGTGGTGTTAGGGGCGTCATGAATGATGGGCAAGGACTCTATCACTGCACCACATTCCTAGCTCTAAGACTTATTTTCACCTACTACTTTTTCTTTCTTGAGAGAAGAGCTCACACAATTTTGTTTCTTTCATTTTGGTTTTCCAAGGCATGGTTTCTCTGTGTAGCCTTGACTGTCCTGGAACTCACTCTGTAGACCAGCTGACCTCATAGGTAGAGATCTGCCTGCCTCTCCCGCCTAGGCATGCAAAATCAATGTCCTACGCATTTTTCTTTCTTTTTCCTTTTTTTAGTACATTTCTTTTATAATGCATGTGTGTGTGCTCAGGCACACACAACCTGAGGGAGTCAGTTCTTTCTTTTTATCATGTGGGTCCTGGAGATCACATTAAATTACCAGGTTTGGTGGCAAGCACGTTTGTTTGTTGAGCCTTCCTTTTGTTTGTTCTTTGAGTCAGGGTCTCTCTCTCTGACTGTCCCGGAGCCTGCTGGGTAGATAAGGATCACCTCAAACTCACAGAGATCCTTCTGCTTCTGCCACTGAGTGCTGGGATGAAAGGTGTGTGCTATCATGACCATTTTTTTTTTAATTTTTATTTATTTTATGTATTCTAGTGGGTATTTGTTTGTTTGTTTGTTTGTTTTGTTTTTTGAAGACAAGGTCCTAAACTGGGCAGTGGTGGTGTACAACTTTAATCCTAGCACTCAGGGATTAAAGAGGCAAAGGCAAAAGCGGAGGCAGATGGATCTCTGTGAGTTCGAAGCCAGTTTGGTCTACAGAGTGAATTCCAGGACAGCCAGAGCTACACAGAGAAACACAGTGTTGAACCTTCTACCCCACTCAAAAAAAGATAAGGTCATACTACACAGCTCTTGCCTGGAACACTCTATGTAGAGTTTGAGGTTAGACTCAAATTCAGAGATCCACCTGCTTTCCTGCCTTTGCTTCCCAAATGCTGGGATTTAAGTTGTATACCACATCTGGCTTGTACGAGTATTTTGCCTGCATATATGTCTGTCAGTCCACCTCATGTGTGCCTGGTGCCCACAGGGATCAGAAGAGGGTCTTGAAACCTCTGAGACTGGCGTTATAGATGTGTGGGTGCTGGGAACTAAACCTGGGTTCTATGCAAGAGCAGCTAGTACTCCTAACAGATGAGCCATCGCTCCAGCCATTCCCCATGTGAAGACCAGCCTCCCACCCCTTCCAGAGTTGGCCAGCCTTAGGAAGGAAGAAAAAGCATACTTTCTAGTATCTTCTTGCCTTGCTACTGGCCAGGGCAATCCTATTTCCACTTAGACTACAAACCCACTCATGTCCAAAGGCCCCAAAGACCAGCCAGGAAATCCAATACTCACAGGGTTCCTCTTGCCCAGGTAAGGTGACTTGATGTTTTTTTACTCCGTTAAACAGGAGCTCTGCACCGCCTCTGCAAAAGAAGGGCAGAGAAAGACAGCTGGGTGAGTGACTGACTGCACATAGGACTGAGATGAGTCTGATAACTGCGGACAGGGCTGGTGGTGAAAGCTGAGGAGATGCACAGACCAAGGTTCAAGAACAGCCTACTAACTTTCTACTGTGGGTAAAGAGGATGGAAACAATTTTCACTGTTAGTAGAACACCCAAGCCTGCCGCCTCCTTTACCCCTCTGCTTTTTTGAGAGGCAGTTTAGTACACAGAGGTAAAACACAGGCTTCGGAGCTGCTAGCCCCAAGAAGGAAACTGGCTCTACTTAGCCCTGCCTGCCAGTCAGACCCTGCCGATCTTATTCCCAATAATGCTGAGCCACCTTTCTGGGGTGCTCTGGAGACCCTGTGCATTTCTGGCCATGTATGAGTGGAAATAACCCTGTTTCTGCTCATTGCCATGCACTTCTGAGCACAGGAACTTCAGGAACGGAGGCCGAGAGAGCACACTGGGCTTCATACTAAGAACATCACCTTGTCAGTTATAGGCTGTTCTTCATCCCATTGTATCCTCTGCCATCCCAGCAAAGGAGGGAGGAAGCAGACAGAGTGGACTAAAGCCCAGAGGAGTTAAGTAACCCCAGAGATTTTTTTCAGAAAGCCCCTAAGAACAGACTTCGGTTCGTTTCTGTGTCCTAGCACCTGGCCAAAGGACAGTCAAGACAGCAGAGATGCTCAAAGCCAAGTTCAGAAGCCAGAACTTCTGGTATGGGCAGTGGGGCGTTCAGTGCCCCACACTATTTCTTCTTCTGGGTTTTCTGATTCCCATCTCAGACTTCATGTGGGGCTGAACTGAGAAGGCCTTAACAGACTTTTGATGGATGTGCTGATTCCTACCCCACCACCCTTTTCCCATCTCAGGGAACAGAGATGTCCTGAGGCAGCCCACTAAGAGGCAAAGGCAAGGCAAACATTGTCATGGGGAAAACTTGGGGCGACTGTCATCTAAACAAGGTCATGCTTTGTTGATGCAGAAATGTGGAGGGGGAGTAGAGGCCCATCTGTGGCTGTGCACAGGGCCATTTCAGCTGCAAGCCCACACAGAACCTCCATTTATCCCTTTCCAAGAGCATCATTTTCTGCTGGGTAGGGGTTGGCACATGCAGCAGCTGGGCTGGGGGAGGGTGATAGACAGGGGGTTCAGGACTTGAGGGTTAGAGAAGAGGGGTGGGAACTGGAGGCAAATAATCAAGAGCGGCCAAACCTGGTAGTGCCAGGCTCCGAGGCCAAGTCTGTTTTCCCTCTTACAAACAGATGAAGAGCAAACCAGTGAGGCTTTGAGTGACCTGTCACTGTTTGGTCAGCTAGGCCCTGAGGGAGGGTCTTGTACTTCAGTCAGCATGTCTGGCGTGAGATGAACACATCTAACTTCAGGGCCAATTTAGGGAAAAAAGACCGAGGAGCTGTTGGGACCCCAGAGATCTAAGGCCAGATTCTATTCTGTTTTATAGGATTTGCCATTCTAATTTAACCAAGATACCTCCATCTCCTCTCAATACCTCGATTCACTGCTAATACTAGTGACAGGAATACATTTCTCTAGTTGCTTTAAAAAAACATATCTATATAAAAGCTGGTCATGGTATCACAGGCTTATAATTCTAGTACTTAGGAAACAGAAGCAGGAGAAACAAGAATTCAAAGCCATCTTCAGCTACATATTAAAACTAGCTTGTTACATGAGACCCTGCCTCAACAACCAATAAGCCAACAACAACAAAAGTCTATCCATCCAGTTTTAGTTTCCATCCACCTTATGGAACACAAACAGGATCTAAATGGAATAAGTCCTGGCATACAGCAGGAATTTAAAAAATATTTGCCACATCAATGACTATGACTACTTCTACTTCTCTGACCTCAATAGCATGTCCAGCTTTCCCCCCACCCCAAACTCTTGAAACGAGAATCTCACATCTGGGTCTTTAGAGCCTGGAAACGAGGTACCCCAAACACACCTGGACTATACTTCAAATTCTGTGTGTTCTTAAAGAAATGCTCTACTAGAGCCGGGACGTGTGGTTCAGTTGGTACAGTATTTGCTGTGTATCCAAGGAAGCCTTGGATTTCATTTCCAGCACTGCATAAACTGGGCATAATGGTACATGCTTGTAATCCCAGCACTAGGGAGATAAAAGTATAAGAATCAGAAGTTCTAGGTCATCCTCAACCAATTACTGAGTTGAAATAGGCCATCCTGGATATAATGTCTCAAAAAAAAAAAAAAAAAAAATCAAAGCAAACCCAGAGGTGTGAGTTCAAGGCCAACCTGGTCTACAGAGATAGTTCCAAGACAGCCAGGACTACATAGAGAAACCCTGTTCGGAAAAACCAAACCAAACCAAACAGCCCCTGCTAATAACAGTTCAAGAGGCATGCCAAAAGATGACAGAATTGGCCCTAAAAAGAAAAAGATAGGAGTGGTGGCATTCCCTTTAATCCCAGCACTCGGGGAGGCAGAGGCAGGTGGACCTCTGTGAGTTCAAGGTCAGCCTGGTTACAGAGAAGACTGCCAGGACTACACAAAGAAACCCTGTCTCAAACAAAATAGCTCTATCATGAGCTCCTCTCTCCAAACAAAACCAAAATGGGAAGAGAGAAAAAACGCTTCTGGCTTTGGCAAGCATATTTATTTATTTCTAGAAGGGTCTCTCACTATGTCGTCCTGGCCTGGCCTTAAAACTAAAGATCCAACTGCCCCTGCATTCCAAGTGTCAGGATAATAGAGCTGAACCACCACGCCTTGTGAAGTTGGAATTCTGATGGGTCACTTATGTGGGAAGGTGTGGAAGGAGATGAACAGGTGGGTAAAGAATGTGGCCCTGTCTTGCTCAAACTCAAAAATGCTTAGAGGTAAGGAAGGCTGAAGCTAGGAAAGAAGCAACTGTGGAGGTCTGTAAACTCTGGAGGGCAAGAGCCTTATTTACTTTATGACTTCCTCACTGTTGTCAGCATAGTATGTCACACAGAATACATCTCTGCTGAATAAACACCAGGTCTGACTCACTGAAAATAAAAGGCAAGTTGGCTACAAATAAACGTTAACACTGGCTTCTTCCCTTTCCATTCTGCTGAGGCTGGTCAAGGCATCAGGAAGTCCCCCTTTATTCCCTGGCTGGGAGGTAGGAGGGTCCGATGATAGCTGGGCTAAGGGTCAGAGAGGCAAAATGGTCAGGAGGCCAGACCAACAGAGTTCTAATTGGATCCAAGCAGCCAGACAATATCATCAATTAAACTGTACTTAGCATTCATGAGACTACTCCCTTCCCAGGGACAGAAATGCTGAACACTGTAGGGAATAGACAGAGTGTTATTTATCTTTGTATTCTCGGTGTCTGGCTCACTGCCTGGCACATGGTAGGCACTCAATAAATGACTGGCGAATGAACTACCAAGTAAAGGGACAACATAAAAGGAAAGGGGGACAGCCAATGGGAAGAGAGGCATTTGCAAAGAACTTTACATTTCTACTCTAGAGTTTTCCCTTCACTTCGACCTTGGCTTATTCATATACACAAGACACAGCCATACAAAACACAGCCACACAGACAAGCTTAGCTTTTCCATGATTCTAGAAACAACCACCCATCTCTAGAGACCTCAGTTCTTTGTCTGTTCTCAGCTATTAAGTCTGTCTTCTGCAGATTTTGAAACCATGACAGACCTTCTATGTGCTGGAAGAACAGACTAGGGATATGAGAAGATTTTCAGTTTTCCCCGTGTTCCTTCAAGTAATGATGTGTACTTCCATTCTGGAACTTTTCATCTTGTGTATAAAATACTGTCAATGTTTGTCGCTCCCTCCGTGGTATATTATTTATCCCCGTATCTCCTCTAAACTCCACATCTGCAGAAGGCACTCACCAAACTATTTCGCAAGAGATTTAAGTCTGATTAAAAGTCCCACGTTTGAGAAAGAGAAAGAAAAGTGTCTTGTCTTGGCCACACATTCTTCCAAGAAACCAGGCGGGAACTGCCTCCTGAAGACAGAATTGAAGGATTATTCAACGGGGAGATTCGTGTTCTCCTTGGGAGCCCAAAGGCCAGGCAAGGTGCCCGGGCTCGGAATAACACTGGTAAAACACTCTAGAAGACAGCCTGCTCACTGTCAACTCCTCCAAGTCCTACACGATACAGACCACGGCGCGAGACTCTCAATGCACCCCTCCACCCGTGCGTGCGCCTCTATTCTCGGACTTACGGCCTCGTCGCCCACGGAAACCGAGCCTGTCAGAGGCCAGGCAGGTGGCCCGGCTCTCGGAGGGCGTCAGTAGCCTCGGCAGGTCGACAGAGGTCCAAAGTTTGAGGCCCTATGGCTTCGCTCTATCCCCAAAGCGACCCGGTTCTCACTCACCCGAACTCCACCTCCACCTCCACGGGCGCCGCCATGTTGAAGAAGCCAAGCTAGCAGGACACGCCTCTCAACTTCCGGAGCGCCGTCTTATTTCCGGTCGCCACCAGGTAGTGTGAGCGGAAAGGGCGGTACGTAGGGGCCCGGTACTCCTCAGCTACTGGACAGAGGCGCGGTCTGGGCGCTGTGGGCTGGAGAATTGATTGCCTAGGTTTTTTTGCAGACCTAGCAGAAAACCCCGAGCTGGAAGGGAGACTTCATGAAAAAAGGCGACTAAGGGGAAGAAATTCATCAACCTCCGATGACATCATTGTGAGCCACGTACTGTTGCTCTTTCACTGGTCACAAATCTGTTTTCAAGCCAGGCGTTATGGTGCACGCCTTTAATCCCAGCACTCAGAAAAGCAGAGAAGGCGGATCTGTACAAGGCAGCCTGAACTGCATAGGGAATTCCAAGACAGCCAGGGCTACATAGTAAGAAAACAACAAAAACAAGAATCCTGTCAGGCCTGCCTTAAGCAACACATCACTTGAGGGAGTAATACGTGATCTGTCCAAATTCTTATTTCTGACCCAGTTGTCTCTCTCCGGAGCTGCCACCTCGCTATCCAAACGTCTGTGTCAAATGTCGATTTGGATATCATCTACTCCGCGGTTATTTAGTTAGCAACGTGCCTGACATATTGTTTGGTCCCGTGGAGAGTTAGTATTAAAGGGTGTAAGTGAAGTTCCTGCTTCTAAGTGTAGCAGGGAGATAATGTAATCAAATAAACGTACTAGTCACATTAATAAATGTGAAATCCCACACTGGAATAAGATTTCTGAAGTTAAAGAATCTGTATTACAGAGATTTGTGAAAGAAAACGTTAGGGCTGGGGAGATGGCTCATCTGGCAAAGTGCTTTCTGTGCAAGTGTAAGGATCAAAGACAAGATCCCTAACACCCACTCAAATGGTGGGTGGGCATGGCAGCCTGCCTGTGAGCCCAGTACTCGGGAGATGGAGGTAGCTACCAGGATTAGCTGCCAAGCTAGATCAGCCAGTGAGCAAGCTCTGAGTTCAAGAAAGAACCTGCCTCAATATACAAAGTGGTAGACTGGAGAGATGGCTCAGAGGTTAAGAGCATTGGCTGCTATTCTAGAGGACTCAGGTTTGGTGGCCAACACCCACATGACAGCTCACAACTGCCTGTAACTCCAGTTCCACTTGCATTTATTCAGGCAAAAAAAAAAAAAAAAAAAAAAAAACTAATACACTGAAAAATAAATCTTTTTATAATATATGGTGGAGAAAGAAAGACAAAAAGAAAATGTTATGTGGAGACAGTGCCCAATGTTACAGTGCTTGCTCCTGTACAAGAACCTGTGTTTGGCCACAGTACCAGGTGTGTATATGTATATATATGGCAGAGCACATACCAGTGTGGACTTGCTGGGCTCTAAAGCTTTGTTGGAGTAAATAAGGTAGATATGAGGAGAGCCTAAGTTGCAAACTAACTGGCATCGAGGGAGGAAAATGGGGAGCGGGGAGCTTGGCCAAAGACAAGGTTGAAAAACTGTGTAGGATGTCAGGCAGTGGAGGTACACATCTTTGATTCCAGCAGATGTAGGCAGATGACAGCCTGGCCTACAGAGTTCCAGGACAGCTAGGGCTACACAGAGAAACGCTATTTTGAAAGAACAAAAAAATTAGGCAAAGCCAAGCCATGTCTCATAAACCAGGTAAACATTCGGAGTCTAGGAGAAATGGGAGGCTGTTGAAGGTTTGAGGAGGAGGGATGAGAATGTTTTAAACTAAAGCATTGGGAGCTGCTGATATAGCTGAGCTGGCAAAATATCTGCCTAGAATATACAAAGCCCTGGGTTTGAGCTCCACCAATTCAGAAATCAGGGGATATGGTGTTGCAAAACAGTAATCTGAGTACTCAGAAGAAGTTCAAGGTAATCCTAAATTATATATGAGATATTTGTCTAGGAAAAGTATTGGTGGCAAGGGCCTTTCATCCCAGCACTCAGGAAACAGAGGCAGGCTTGTCTCTGTAAGTTGGTTTTTGTTTTTTCAAGACAGGGTTTTTTTGTGTAGCCCTGGGTGGCCTCAAAGTCACAGAGATCCATCTGCCTCTGCCTCCCTGAGCTCTGCGATTAAAGGCATGTGCCAGTCCAGCTTGTCTCTGTGAGTTGGAGTCCAGGGCTATGTAGAGAAACCTTGTTTCAAAAATAACAAGCGTGTTCACACGGGCACACACACACACAAAGAAGTATTGAGTTTGAGGCCAGCCTGTGCTACATTGAGATCCTGTCTCAAACAAGACAAAACAAAATAAGTTTACCAAAACATCTTTTGGTTTTTTTTGTTATTGTTGTTTTGTTTTTTTGAGAGAGTAGTGCAGGCTCAACTTGAACTTATAGCAGTGTTCTGGTGTAGCCTCCTAAATGCTGGGATGAAGGTATGAGCCACTATGTTCTGCAATCTTTTGAATAATATAACTTGAAAAGCCACCAACACAACTTCATGAATGTAACTCTTGTTAAGATAGTAAATGTTGCTGGGAGCAATGGCCTTATAATCCCAGCACTCAGGAGGCAGAGGCAGGTGGAGCTCAGTGAGTTTGAGGCCAGCCTGGGCTACAAAGTGAGTTCAGGACAGACAAGGCTATACAGAGAAACCCTTTCTCAAAACAAGATTAAATGTTGCAGGAAGTGGTGGTGGAGACCTTTAATCCCAGCATGCAGGAGGCAAAGGCAGGTGGATCTCTGTGAGTTCAAGGCCAGCCTGGACCATTACACAGAAAAAAACCCGTCTCAAAAAAATAAATAAATAAATGCTGCCAGGCTTGGTCATGGCTCACAGCTTTGACCTCAGCACTCAGGAGGTAGAGGCAAATGGAACTCTACATTCTAAGTTAGCCTGGTCTATATAAATTCCAAGACAACCAGGACTACAGAGATCCTGTCTCAAAAATAAAAATAGAAATAAGAATAAAAATAAAATAAATCTGGGTGGTGGTGGCAAACAGCTTTCATTCCAGCATTTGGGAGGCAGAGGCAGGCAGATCTCTGAGTTTGAGACCAGCCTAGTCTACATAGAGAGTTCAGGGACAGCCAGGGCTAAACTGAGAAACCCTGTTTTTGAAAATCTAAAAATAAATAAAATAAAAAAAGATAAAATGTGGGTTTCTTGGCAGGAATATGCCTAACAACTATCTGTAACTCCAGTTGCAGGGGATCTCATGCTCTTTTCTAACCTCCATAGGCACCAGGCACTCACATGGTACACATACGTATATACATACATACATACATTACATTACATATGGCAAAAACACTTGTACATGTAAAATAAATATATTAAATGTGATTTTTCACTCAAGAAGCTCCCACAGACGCTATCTTTCTTTCTTTTTCTTTTTTACTTTTTGAGAAAAGACCTTTCTATATAATCTGGCTGTCCTTAAACCCTCTAACCCTAACAGACCAGGCTAGCCTCAAACTCAGAGATCCACCTGCCTCTGCCTCCTGAGTGCTGAGATTAAAGGCGTGTGCCAACATGTCTGGCTAAGGTTTTTTTAAGCATCTTTTTTTTTTAAGTGTCTTTCTTTGAACTCTTATGTTTCAAGTTTTTACAGACTTTATCATTATTATTATTGTTATTATACTTTTCATTATTAGATTTACTTGTGTGTGTGCATGTATTCCTATGCATGCCATCGTCTATGTGGAGGTTAGAGGACAATTTGTAGGAATCAGTTCTCTCTCTGCCTTGAGAACCATGGACCTGAACTAAGGGCAGCAGCTCTTCAGCTATTCTACACCCCAACAGTAAAGTTTTCTTCTCTTTTTATGATTTTCTGAGACAGTGTTTCTCTGTGTATCCCTGAATGTTCTGGAACTCACTCTGTAGACCAGGCTGGCCTCAAACTCATAGCAATCCTGCCGTGTGCCTTTAATCCCAGCTCCCAAGTGCTGGGGTCAGATGCATGCGTCACTATTGCCTGGCTTGGCTTTAACTCTTGATCCTTGTATGTTGTAGGTGACAATTAATATTTACTATTGCTATATCTTCTGGTAAAGCTGCTGTTAATCCTAAACAGCTGTATACCCAAATCACCACACAGACACTGGGATTTATTTAATTAACCTAGAGCACAATGCTGGGCAATAGTTGTTCCATCCTAAACCTCCAAGCCCACGTAGTTTCTACCATTCAGATTTCCCACATTATACTTGCTTTTAGTGATATATTAGGATCAGTCCATCTCTCCATGGTCGTTCCAAGATCTCTGTTCAACTCTCTCCCAGCTCTCTCCTCTCCCTCCCACCTTCCTGTCCTCTGGCTCCTTCCTCTCTTCCTGCTTCCTTTCTATTGCTCAACATTGTGGCTACTTGCTTTATTTTGGCATGTTTACACAAAGCTGAGACAGGTGATGCTTAGAGTAAGTATCACAACGCAATGTCCGGATTGAAACCAGAGAGTGGGGGAGAGAAATCAGCAATTGAATGAACAAGGGTAAGGTGTATACATTCCAAAACACATTATACCAACACTTGTATTTATTTACCTATCTTCTGCATTATTTATTTATCATCCGTGCAGGTGTTTGCCTGCATGTATGTCTGTGTGAGGGTGTTGAAAGTGTAGTTGCAGAGCAGTTGTGAGGCACCATGTAGATGTTGGGAATTGAACCAAGGTCCTCTAGAAGAACAGCCAGTGTTCTAAACCTTTGAGTGTATCTCCAGCCCCTGTGTTTTCCATTTTGAATTATTTTTCTTCTGGGATTATAGCTTGGCACCATAATGCCAAGCTTACCACCTCTGGTTACTTTTTTTACTTTGGTGCTTGGCGTTGAACCCAGGGTCTCATGTACACTAGCTGTGTGTTATATTACTGAGCCGCATCCCTTCCCCTTTTTCTGGTTTCTGGGGGGGGGGTAACCCTATGTCATTCCTCGGGAGCCATCTATTTTAAATATTATTTTTGATGCAGGGTCTCATTATGTAGCCTGGCTGGCCTTGACTTCAAGATATAGACCAAGCTGGCTCAAATTTATAAAGATCCCAGAGGCAGGTGTG